TTTGTTTTTCGTTTCCCACTTCCATAGATTCATTCTTTTACATTTTTTCTTTGTAATTACTTCAGAAGAAGAACTGGATGAACCAGGTCCTTCAGCAAATAAAGACAAAGCTTCTAGCACCATTAAAACATCAAGGATTACGGCTATCAAATCAGAAGACACCATGAACTGCAAAAGAGTCCAGTGTTTGTGCAGCCGTTGCATTCCAAGAACCACATTGAATAGAAAACTAAAGAGAACATCTGACACTATGCACAATCATCCTGGAGATGATGATGATGATCACAATCATGATGATGACTGTAGTAATAAATATAGACAAAATAACAGACAAATATCAAAAATGTATCAAGGAAAAAATCCCAGTCATTCAGGAGCAAAGTCAAATGAAGCTTGTGCTTCATCAAGTATCCATCACCATTATAAGGATCACGATGATGATGAATGCTGTACGGGTTGTGAAGTTACAAGAAAAACGGACAAAGATATTGAAAGTACCGCAACGTCACATGGAGAGCTGTCTGGTATATTTTCAATTAATCATCATCACATGTATCATGATTCTGATGATGCAAGAGACTTTAAGATTCAAGGGAGATTGGGCAATAGCGATGCTCAAAAGAAATCTAAGAAGACATTGATTAAGAAGGATTTGAAGAGTGATGACAAGAATCACTTACTGTCATCGTTAGATAATGGGAGTGAATCTTCTTCCTCAAGTACACTTAACACTCTGAGCAGCTCTACAAATGTGGTATCTAGTAATCACAACATGTGTGATGATTCTGATGGATGTGAATGTGAAAGTTGTTCAAGCAGCTTGGGGGTACAGGGAAAGAATAAGCCCACAAGTAGTGCTCAGGCTGGCCTACAATCCAACAATGATATCAATAATGACAGTCATTCTAGAGATGATTATGATGAGCATGAGTGCATATGTGGGTTATGCCCTGTTAATGGTGATGATGATGATGAATGGGAAGACATAGATGATGATGATGATCACAGTTTTTCAGACATGGGTAAGTAGTTTTCATAAATGCATTGAGATATTTCCCGCTCATCGTATCATAATATATATTTAGACCTTTTTATTTTGGGCATAATGTTTTTTCCAAGTTCACACCATGTGTCATCCTGGAAATTATTTCTTTGTTTAACGGTTGCGCATGAGCAGGGTTGTCAATAAAATTTTTAGTAGGCGGTTATGAAATTGAAATAGGCAGTAAACCGGAAATCCTTGGAGCATGAAATCGAGTCATGCTTGTCACCAGTCTCACTCTTCTCACAAAAATTCAAGATGGCGGACAACGTAGTTTCGATTGCGTTGCAGTTTTCGTAGTACAGCAACAAAGTTTGGGTAAAAACTTATTTTGTGCACACATTTTGCTAGTTTGGAGAACTTTAATCAAGATTTACAATTTCATAGGGAAGTGGCTGAGTAGGTGACCGAATTAGCAAGAGTAGACGGCGGAGTCTGCCGGTTGCCGGCTTCTAT